GGCCAGAATGTCAGCTTTAAGATGAGACTAAACACGTAACTGCAGCACAACTCAAGTAGACACTATATATAAAGAGCTCACCAGCTAATTAGTTCCTATCTAATTACTTAAAGAACTCCCCCACCCGCCCCCCTTTCATGAAATGTCGTGAAATCATAAATCAACGTAGAGAGATGACAGTGGTACCGTTGGATAGGGCAGAATGTCAGCTTTAAAATTAGTATGAAAACCGAAAAAGTAAAAATTATCAATTTTAGGGTAGACGCTCCCCTTAAACACAAACTGCCCTCGGACAGAGTTTGTTGGAATGCAATTCAACTGTGCGGCAAAATTTGAAGAAATGTGAGCTAAATTCATTTAACAGCATTTCTAGAGTATTTTTGTAAAAGTATCATCTAAATACATGGCCGTGCATATGGCCTAACACTTGGTCAAATTCGGAAAAAAATTTTCTTACATCGGTTGAAAGCTCAGTCGAAAAGAATGATTTTTAAAGTCAGTATTTTGAACCGAAGCAGCATAAAAATCCCCTTTCTCGCCCACGGATAAACCACTGATGATTTAAATTCAGATTTTTCATTTAAATTGCAGGTTAATTTCTTGCTTTTCTAACCACTGGTTATCGGTAGTTTATGGTTGGCGCTACAGTGGCCTCCGAAAGCCCGAACATAAATTCGAAACGAGGTTTCTTCCTTCTTGGGTTTCGGCAGAAGTTTGTTTTGCTGAACGCACTGCTAAGTCCGGCGAAAACAGGCTCGTATTTTGCCCGCATCTTTTGTAACTGTCGGGATAACAATGCAGACGGGGAAGACTGTGTGACGATGAAGTAAATTAAAGATGAACAATTGAGATATTGAAGACAATGAAAACAGTAACTATAGAAGTCAGCAGTGATGATAAAGTTAGGCAAGGAGAAAGTTAAATAAGAATGCGACTGAAATAATAACGACACGTAAAAGAAAGGTGAAAAGTAAAAAAGTGACTGTAATGCCTGTATTTTTAACGAAATGACCCCAAGCGAAAACTACATGTTTCAAGTCACGTAATTGATTAATAACGCCTGTATAATTCATTGAATATCTTATATTTTAGTCAATATCCATTAAACTCTTTATTTTGAATTTGTCCGCAAATTTCATTGCACTAAATCAAGCAATTAATTCTGTAGTATCAGAATATTTCTGGCCATGGTGGACATGGTCAAGGGTTAAAATAATTTCTTTGGGTCTCTGGACAAGAGGGCAAAATCAAAACACATTTTACGTTTAGAATTACAATGTTAAAGTCCGGACACATCGAACGGTATGTTTGCCTGATGTGTAACTTATGTTTGCCTGATGTGTAACTGACTAACTGATCCTTTCCCAATCAAAATAACTGTTTCCAAAGCAATGAAAGTGTCATAATTAGAGTTTTGCGTTCAAACTTTTACTTCACACCTCATTTATTTACTTACATTCATAAGTTTACTCGTTCCCCCTACTTCTATGCAACTACTGAACACCTTCTCTCCTTCAATGCGTTGTCTGTCGCTCGATTACACAGCGAGCGGGAAAAGAGCGGAACGCAGATTTCTTTCTGTTTAATTTAAAAAATTTTGTGCCAATGAAACAACGCTGTGACGGTAAGCCTTCAATAAAGTGAAGTAACAAAAATTACCAGGGGAATTATTATGACGTGGAGAATGAGAAGTTTACAATGGGACACAATTATCCCCTTCCATGGTATAAGATGAATAAATCAACGTGTATGAGATTATTGCCGACGCAACATGCAGTTGTGTTGGCGTTGTATCGCGTTTTCTGGGCTCGGTGCCGTGACGTATCAGCCTTGGCGGTAACCATTCACCGGCACAATAATATGTGCGTCGTGTTCGTTAATTACAACGCGTTCTTTTCATCTTCATACTCGCCGCACGTCGTGATGCTCTTTGTCTTGTTCAGCAGCTGATGTGGCCGTAGTGTTGTTTATGGCCGTACAGAGTGCAATATTGTGGGGTACATGCATGCGTCAGTTGTTGGTCGTCATTCAAATTTGAAATATAAGTAGATAATATCAGTATTTTGCGGGGGGAATTTTTTCAGATTTTTACATCAATAACTTTTTTGTTAATACGGAAAACCAAAAAAGTTATTGATGTAAAAATGTGAAAAAATTCCCCCCGCAAAATACTGATATTATTTACTTATATTTCAAATTTGAATAAAATCCGTTCCTAATTGAAGGAGTTATGAGTGCCACAGTTGAAAATGAAGTTAGGTTTTGCATTCGAGCTCGCAGGCGAGTTCGCTGAAGTGTCGATTCGGTCAAAGAAACTAACGAGTCGTTGCGACAACAAATACTTTAGTTCATAAAACTTATTTTAGTTCATAACTCGAAAACTGTTAATGATCTCGTGTCAAAATACGACCATTTGTTTAATGATCTACCAATAATTCAATCTTATTACATGAATTTTAATTTAGGTAATATATTTCTTTCGAATTGCCTGAAATTTGAATTTATGATATACGTCGCGACTTGTCTATAGTGCACTTGTACTCGAATTCATAGTTTGAAAATTTTATTATGCACTTTAGTAGTGTTAGTAGTTGCTAAAAAGAATTATTTTGAAGGCATTATAAAGTTCGAAGGTGCAACCGTCGTGCTAGCACTCTAGCAGACGACGTTCGGTTTGTCTACGATCGAACGAGTCGTACGTGCCGATCCTTGACTAGCTTCCAATAGTGTCGTTCAGTTTTACTCGCGCTAAGTTGTCCTTATATATAAGTGTTCGTGTTTCGTTGCCTGTAATGTTCCTGTGTTTTTAATTACCATTTACTGTGTCACTAGGAGAGTGATTGTAGGAGAGCTCGCGTTTTTTTAAAGGCAGCATATAGCTTGAAGGTGCAACCTGCCACGTGGGCACTCATGCAGACGACATTTGTGATCGAACATTGAACGAGTCGACTAGCTTCCAGTAGAATATCGTCAATCGTACAGTTACAAGTGTGCTCGCGCTAAGTTGTCCTAAGTATACTCGTGTATCTTTCCTGTAATGTTCCTGTGTATTTTCTTGTGTATTAATGTTCCTCACGTTTTTATGTGACGATATGATCTGTGATAGAAGTCATAAGATATGTACCCGAGAAGCGTTCATTAAATATAGCCATTGCCATTTGAAACAGGGCACGCCTGCTTTGGCGTCGTGAGTGCCTGGCTGAGAGCTGTTGGAAATGCTGTGTAAAGCCGCGAAAGTATTAATGGAAGGAAACAGACTTTAAAGAGAATGTAAATGTAACATACTTAAATAATTTTCAATTAAATCACTCAATTTCTTTGAGTGATATATAAATAAGAAGAATTCATTGAAATATTTTTAAAGATACAAAAAAATGAGATAGAAATCAAAACAATCGGACAGCGTACTAGTACCTATAAGGCTATAATATTCTAAGGAAAGCCATTATTGTAGAAAATCAATTGGATGAGCAGATGTAGTACTAATGAATATTCTGCATTTAAATTTTTAAATGGCCTCATTGAATGGTGAGGAGTGTGCATAGGCTAATCCAACCTTTGACTGAGAAAGTACCTACCTAGTCTGACAGAGTAGCTAGGCTAGTCTATTTTGTCTATAATTATTGTAATCATGTAATGTATCATTGCATTTTATTCAATATTGTCATATGCATTAAATTCAAATAATAAAGGAAATGAGCTTGCTCTTTAGAATATACTATATATATAAATCATTTTATTTATTAAAGAAGTATTGTTTTTATCATTGACAATTTGACAGTCACTCAAGATTGGCATATTATTTTCAAATAACTTGTCTCCTATGTGCTCATTTAGCCTGGTAACTTTGCAGGCTGATATATTGGTTTAACATTTCAGATTGGAAATTGTTTGACAGAAGTTGATTATTTAAGACTAATTAATCATCATTGTGATTCCATGCCTAGAAAAAATTATTATGCAATAAAAACGAAATTAGTAAAATATCAGGAGTTGTTATCAGCTGGAACATTTGATGAAGAAACCAATGCGGCTGAATCATTCAGTGAGTTCAATGGAGATCATATTGATAATATAGTGCATCCATCACAGAATAGTATCCATGTTTCTGCCAATACCTTGATAAATCCCTACACCTGTGCCAACTCTAATCACGAACATTTTGAAGTGGCTGACATTCCTTTAACTCAGCCTTCTTCATCAACTGTTACATTTGAAAATGCTTTTCAAACCACTGAATGTGATGACCCCATACNATTCTTTCCTTTACGTTCTTCCACAGTGACAATGTATAGCATCGTAATTTTCGATGAAGAGAACTGTGTTGAAGGTGTTCCCAACTCTTGGGTCATTAAGGAAAAAGATGGCACCTACTGTGCTTGGCCTCAAGGGCCTTCATTTCAGATTAGGAATTTTGTAAAAAGGATGAAAGTCCCTGACGCCTCTTGGCAAAAAATTAAGTGTCGATTAAGCGGCGTTGCTGATACCTACAATAATATGCTGGACAAGGTAACTAAAGCACAAGAGCTAACAGAAATAGACTCCGATTCTGAAAATGAAAGCCAATTAAAACGACGAAGAATCTCATCAAGCTCAAGCAATGAAGAGGCATCGTCACCAAGGGTGACACCACCTCAAATATCTAAGGAGATACAGGGTGAGTTGAATCGTTTTACTGTATATTTTCAAGCATAATCTCATGCCTTTTCTGTCAAATAAAACCTACTAATCTCGTTCCAGGCAGTGCAAACACTTGTACTGTCCATCATAGAATTCAGTTTGCATGCCTCAATAATGTAATTATATAAAAAACGAGAGATTAAATTCCTTTTGCTCTTCATAATTAACCCTTATCTCCTCGGGTTTTTGTATCATGCTACAACCTCTGATGCATGTGATATCTGCCCTTCCATCTGTTAAATATTTTTTAGTCGGCTTCTATCTAACATATGCCGCATTTATTTTACCTCGAATTAATATAGAAGGTTTCCTATGCAATGCCGTCTTCAAACGCGAAATTATGAACTAAAATTCATTTTTAATAATTATGAGAAGAAAAGGACCGAATTTCTGGTCTCAAACAGAGCCATTTTTCATGTACAACTGCGGCCGGTCGATGTTTTGTGGTGGTGATTTCAATGAAGGTGAGGTTCAAAATATCGTCTAAAACGAATAATTCTTCATGAAGCTTCTTGGCGTGGTTCAAATCGTTGTCATCAACACTGATGATAAAGTCAACATCATCACCTTCATCGCAGCTTACTTTCTCATAATTTATCTCGTCCAACAGCTTCTTTTTCTCATCGTTTATCAGTTCGTAGCTCGCAATTGCAAAAAATGAAATGAGACGGAGCGGAAGGATCGAGTACGTCCAGCCTCAGTAGCTAGTGAAACACAGCTATCGTAAGTCGGGACTGAGACAAGAGCAAGTCCTTCATTCTTACGACTGTTGCCTCGCAACTTAGTCTCTAAGTGTGCTTATTCACGGGGCGATTAGTTGAGTCGTTTACAGTTTCACAGGCTGAGAGCCGCCTATACACGAGGAGAGTGTTTTCAGTACAGTGCGCCAGCGCGACGTTGAGAGTTGTCGAGTAAGGTTGTGCACGGTGGATTCAAGCGAGAGCTCGCCAGCTGTGAGCGCTACAGTGGGCAAGAGAGAGCAACGCACATGTGCACGCTACGACGGCCGAGGCGGTACTGGTCACTCACGAGTCTCGACTGCTTCAAAACCACTCCAGTTGCTCTGCGTGCGCAATGCACCAGCGAGGTNTGTACGACATCAACAAAGTTATAAGCCTTAACTTAACTGGCGCTCGGGACAGAGGTGAGGGCAGGAAACAGCGGTACCTTTCCCTCGGCGCCAGTTCCTCTGCTCATCAATCTGCAGAACCGTCGCTCTAAGTTCATATTCATCAAGTCTTCAATTTTCGACGTGTATTGTGCGTCTGGCCTAACCTATACAAAATTGCAGAAGTAGCGGTATGATATTTCCAAAAAATGTTTCGAAAAATGAATAAAATAATATTTAATATTTTTATTCATTTAGTAAAATGAATAAAAATGTTGACTCATTCATTGTAATGCTTTTGCTGTAGTAATTCTTCTCATTACGTTCTTCCACAGTGACAATGTATAGCATCGTAATTTTCGATGAAGTGAACTTTTGAAGGTGTTCCCAACTCTTGGGTCATTAAGGGAAAGGATGGCACCTACTGTGCTTGGCCTCAAGGGCCTTCATTTCAGATTAGGAATTTTGTAAAAAGGATGAAAGTCCCTGACGCCTCTTGGCAAAAAATTAAGTGTCGATTAAGCGGCGTTGCTGATACTTACAATAATATGCTGGACAAAGTAACCAAAGCACAAGAGCTAACAGAAATAAAAATATCGCCTAATAGTATTATTCTAAAAATTTTTAGATATTATTTTTTTGTGGTTAAAGGATTTCAGGATCACCTTTAAAAGCAGGAAGTATGAGGAAGCATTTATCGAAACATGACATGTGTGACATGACGTGTGTGACATGACGTGTGTGACATGAAGTGTGTGACATGAAGTGTGTGACATGAAGTGTGTGACATGA